AGACTGACTCTTTATTCATACATTCATACATATGTGCTGTCGTTACACCATTTATTGAAGGCAAAATGATCCATTTATTTGCTTCGAATTGAAATGTTCGGAGAATAAGATTTTAACAGATTTGTCCAAGATACTGAAATGTAATAGAATTCAATAGTATTGTTGTAAGATTGTATAAATAAAAAAACTAAATCTAAATTGATTTATCGACCATACGATATTGACTGTGCTTGACATAGGTATTTTTAGAATATTGGAATTTTCTCGATATTTTTTGTTTATTCATTCAATGAAGTTGATTCGATTGCAAATAAAGGTTGTCTGACTCTCCTGGTAATATCAGTGCAATCGAATCGTGACGTTCAGTATTGCCTACGATGAATGTTTTTCATGTGCCTGTTCAAATTCGATTTCTGTGTAAATGTTGTGCGGCACAGATCGCAGCGGAATGGTTTCTCGCCTGAATGTGTGTGCATGTGACCTTTCAATTTCTCCTTGGATGAACCGGTGAACTTCTTGCACAAGTAACACTCGTAGTAGCGTCCCTTGCAGTTCCGTTGGTGTGCCTTCCGTTTGTCGTTCTTCAGAAAACCACGGTGACAAATCAAACACTTGAATAAAAGCTTTGTTGTATGTGTTATCATGTGCCTCTTGAGATCGCTTTTTCGAGAAAATGATTTTGAGCACTCTACGCACTGGACCGGGGTTTCACCAGAGTGAGTGCGCATATGACGAATCAAATGGGATTTTTTCAAACCAAATGATTTGCGACAAACATAACATTCGTAAACACGACGATTACACTCCTCCTCATGTGAATCTCTTTCGTCTTGATCTGAGAATCTTTCGTGACATTTTGAACAGCGGAATGGACGCGGACCGGCATGAAGCTTCATGTGTTTGCTTAGTCTGCCTTTCTCTGAAAATTGCTTGAAGCATTCTTCACATTCAAAGGGTTGGTCACCACTGTGTACGCGCATGTGATTCACCATATTTGTCTTAAGTGAACCAAACGATTCCTTGCACAAATGACATTCGTAGCGGACAACTTTGCAATTAGTTTCGTGTTCTGTCTTCTCCTCCTTTCCATCGAATCCTTGCAAGCAGCCTGAGCAATGGAACAGAAACTCTTTGACGTGTATTTTCATGTGACCAAGAAGACTTCGTTTTTCTTTGAAACGTTTCGGGCAAAGGGTGCATCCGTGTGGCTTCTCACCAGTGTGTTTCAACAAGTGCTGATTCAAATGACCTTTATTATCGGTCGAATATTCACAAAAGTCGCATTTATGCTTCTTCAATACAGTTTTGGGAACACTAACTTTGTCACACGATTCCTTGTTCTTGGCACCGTGGCCTCTTCCTGGCTGCGTGGAAACGTTTTCATCTGGTCGTGATGGCCGCTGAAGATCACGCTGATTTGCCATCGCATCACCGCCTAATTCATCGTTCGTCTTCGATTCCTTTTTCTTCTTTACTTCGGTTTCTTCTTTCACCTCAATTTTGTCATCGTCCCAATCAAGACTATCAAAGTCGTATTTGCCGTTCGGTTGGTCGACACCAAATGAAGGTACAACGACACGGTTATTCCTTGTCGGAACGGGAACATCGACCAATTCACCAACTGATTGTGGTTCTTCCTTGATGCGACGCTCCTCTTTAACCTCAACTGGATTTTCCAACTGATTGTCAGCTTCGACCACTGCTAATTCTGATCCAGTCGATTCGAATGGTGAATTAGAACGATGGCTTGGGTTCAATGCTGCTTCAGTAGTTCGCCTGGAATTCAATGGATAAAAAGTCAGATTTCGATCATAAAACAAAGTGACAATCTTCTCAATAGAATTTAATCGATACAAAAAATCTAGGCAGTTGCTTGTCAAGTAGAAAAAGAAGGCCAATTGTTTGAAAGTGACGGTGAAAAAAACGCATTCGACTTGAATCATCCATAGCATGAGTCTTATTTACGAGAAAAAATTCAATGTGAAAATGAACCGAAGGGAAATAATTTTTTTACAAATTGACTAGATCAAACGTTCACTGATTCATATGGTTTTTTCCGTCAAATGTCTAGATGACTGACAAGATCAAAGTAAAAAAGTTTCATTGGCCTTGAGCTTGAAATGTCAATACGTCATGGAAAATTACTAACTTCGTTTTGTTCCCCATTTTATTTCACCAAAATGTCGCCTTTCCGGCAAATATTGATTGATTTGCTCTTTCTGAACTAACACCCACTTCGCAAAAATGTGTGGAAAATCACATAAATGTGTAAAATATAACAACAACCTGTTGAACAATTTGTTGAAAATTCGTATTTGAATACTGTGAATAATTTTGTTTCATGCAAAATTGTAAATGACTGCGAATGACAGAGCAGTAGTACGTGTTGTCTCTTCCGACGATGACAGCGAAAAGAATGTGTCGTTCTGCCTTTGTGCACAATGAAGCGATGAAATAGTCTGTGTGCTTGTTGATTCACAAGTTTGTGTCAGTGGTGACGTTTCAATCAAACCTCTTTTGTCGTACTTTCCTCTTTTCTCCACACTCATAAGTTACGTGTTCTCTTGACTTATTCCAGATGTCGCTAAATATGGAAATGACAACTCTGATTTGAATTTATCAACTTTATTTATTTCATTATCAGTTTTTTTTCAAAATTTTCATTGAAGAACTAACAGAAATTCCAGATTTCTTGTTGGAAAACTAAAGTTTTGCATAAAAAAGAAAATCAAATGAAAGTTCTCAAGTAATCGAAAATCATGATTGTGTAGTTTAACTTCAAATCATTTGAATTCAATACGGCAAGACATTTTTAGACAATTTGAGGAAAATGAATTGATAACTTTTCATGTAAAGAATGAATTCAATGCGATCGATATGATCAACGATTCTTGTTATGGATACTATTTATGTGTCTCGTGAGACTGGACTTCGCTGTGAATTTTCGCTTACACAGTTTGCATTGGAACGTCTTATCGCCTGAATGTTCGTACATATGACCTTTCAAGTGAGACTTGGATGACCTGAAGAACTTTTTGCACAAGTAACACTCGTAGAAGCGTCCATTGCAGTTTCGTTGGTGTGCTTTCCGTTTGTCGTTCTTA